ACAGATGGTAAATACACAGCTTTCTCTCAAATAAAGGTATAACGATTAGATCACAATTATGGGATTTCCAGTTCTCACTAAGCCAATGGTTCAATATTTAAAACAGAAGAATTGAGTACTGAAGAATCCCAATATAAAACTGAGCTCTAAATTTGATAACATAGAAATATGTTTTAATTATCCATAAGAAAAAAGCATCTTAAGAGTGTCAAAAGCAATTTGTTTACAATATCCTAAATTGAACTGTGATTAAGAACTATAGCTTAAAAAAAAAGCCAAGTAAGCAGACAAAAAAATATCCAATCATGCTGTGAGACTAAAATACATAATTTTCTAGGTTCTTAAAAAGAGGAACCAAGAACTAGGCCCTAACAGTTTCTACTCATTCCTGTCTTCCATTCAAAAGATGATCATTGAGGCTACAGTTCTACATTAGCTGAACTAATAAAAAGTATTGTAGACAAACAATGGTTCACATTTAAATAGTTGTGTGACCCTGGGCAAATTAAACTCAGTTTTGGCCACTGTAAAATGATGGTTTTTCAGGGTCTTCTAAGCTCACAGGATTCCATGTTTCTTTTTCTCCTTTTGGTAAAGGAAGGTAGATGGCAGCAGCAGGCAGGTAAGATTTCAGTTATTGTACAACTTGGATAATTGATTCCTAAATACCGGACAGATTTCTACTCCAAATATCATTCTGCTGTATTTGACAGCATTAAACCTGAGACTCCTTTACTTCTTTGCTAATTAAATTTATGATTATAATCTTGATTTATAAGAGATGCCAAGAGTCATTTAGTTCAATCCTCTCATTTTACAGATGAAGATAACTGTGGTGCAGAAGGGTAAGTGACTTGTTCAAGGTCACATGGGCACTAAGTGCCAGAATGCGATTCAAGTCTAAATTCGTTTCACCACTATCATTCATGGAATTATGGACAAGGATTTTGTACACGAATAATTTTTTATCTACAGCAGGGGGTCTTTTTTTGTGCCATGGGCCCCAATGGCAATCTGGTGAAGCCTATGAATCTATTCTTAGTTCAGTGTTTTTAAACAAATGGAAAGGATTGCTAAATTTCACATAGAAGTTAGTCAAAATAAAGATGAAAAGATTTTCCCCCTTCTAAGTTAACAGGCCCCCTGAAATCTATCCACAGACCCCAGGTTAAGAACTCCTGATCTATACGATGGGAATAACATGACCTATCTTACTGGACTGTTACAAGTCAAGTATTTTGTAAACCTTAAAAGCATTTGAGAAATGTTAACTATTGTTCCTGGACCAAAAATGACTTTTAGTCAATCTCAATGCAGAACATTATGCTAAAAGTTTAGAGTATTTAAAAAAATCCTAAATCCAAGCATACATTGTCTACACTTCAAGTTATCCCACTTCTAAGAAGAAAACCATATTGTGAATTGGAACTTAGGACATGCCCTGCTGACCACAAACCATTTAGCTTTTCTTCTGTAATATGCCCTCAACCACAAAAGGGAGAGGGGAAGGGGGATAGTCTACCACAAAACATGTCAGTGGAAGCAAAATGCCATATATTATCATCATGTAATATTAACTAAATGTCAGTATGCTTATGGCTGTTACATGCCCATCCTATGGTAATTTACATTAAATTAAATCCTAAGTTGTGCAACTGTGTGAACAGTCACAGGCAGAGGTAAAATAATATTTTTAAAATGCTGATAATTAACTTTCAATTACTCAAGACACTTAAAATTCTCAACTCTTTTGCTAGTTGATTTTCAGTCAGGCTAACCGTGCACCATTCAGCCAGCCTCAGTTACTTCTTACTCTACATTACCATCTATAAAATTCAAAGTTGGAGGTATTTCTATTAACCCTTCTGAAGCTGAAAAATAGAATGCTGGATTTAGGAGTCAAAATACAAGGGTATTAGAATACAAGTTTTGACACTTTGTATCAAGCAACTCACCTCTTCCGAAATCTTTCTCATTGGTAAAACAGGCACGACACTCAAGTCACGGGGATGCCCTGAGGTTAAGTATTTAACACAGAACATTATACCTGTTTCACAAATGAGGAAGCTAAGACTGAGGTTGCTATGTGATAGGAGGTTTTGAGGGCTGGGATTGGAATAAGGAAGATGTGGGCTTAAATTCAGCCTCGGGCCCTTACTAGCATTGCATTGTGACCTTGGGCAAGTCACTTAGCCTTGGTCTGCCTCAGTTTCCTTAACTGCAAGATGGGGTAACAGGGGGGTAGCTAGGTGGTGCTGGGGATACAGCACTGCCTTGGCGTCAGGAGGACCTGAGTTCAACTACTGGCCTCAGACACTTACTAGCTAGCTGTGTGACCCTAGGCAAGTCACTTAACCCCTATTGCCTCCAAAAGAAAAAAAAAGGATGGGATAACAGCACTCACCTTTTCAAGGGTTGTTGTGAGGACCAAATGCGGTAATATTTGTAAAGTACCTGGACCATATTAAGTGCAAAAAAAATTCTAGCTAGTTTTACTTTGAGGTTTATGTAGTCATTGTACTTCACAATGACCTATAAGGTGTTATTCCCATTTTACAGGAGAAAGCATAGATTAGAGTTTTAGTGACTTGTTTATAGTCACAAAATCTAATATCAGATCAGGGTTGAACTTGGTCTTCATGACTCCAAGTCCACTTTGTAACAGACGTCTCTCTTTAAACCTTAATTTTCATATTGGTTTTAGGTGCTTATGAACAATCACATGTCTTTTAAATAACTAAGCATAACTTCAGAATTACACTATATTAAAACTCATTTCAATTACACACATTTTTAACTACCCCCAAACAATTTTGGCAAAATTCAATGGAGAAAAGAAATTAAAATCAGCAAACCTATTTATATCCAAATTTCTAACAGCCCAGAAGTCTAATTAAATCGAAAAACACCTGTTAATAACAAGAGTATCCTGATTAAACAAGGAGGCATTTTTTGGTAAGCACAATACTCAACTTCTGTAACGCCCAGCTTCTGCACAAGTAGGTCTACTAAAATCTCCCCAGAGCATCCTGAATTCAAGGTCTCTAGGTGCATGTTAACACATGTTAAGAGATTTTAGCATAGTCGATTTGTTCAACTGTCCCTTGAATCACATACCTACACCTGGTTTCAGTTATATTAACCATTTCTCACTGGACAGATCTAAACCACTTTCATATTCTAGTCTCATTCATACCCTGTTCTTTGGTTTTAACAACAACAAAAAGTGTTTTGATTCAAAAGTTAAAATTAGGGCAATTTAAAAGAAACTACTGCTAGGAAGGGTTTTTTTTTGGGGGGGCTCGGATTAGATAGGAAAAGGGAATTGGGGAGGACAACAAATTCGGTGTCAACCTTGAAACCTCAGATGATGAATTACTATTTGCAATTGCAGTCATCTTAGCCCCCTATTTATTATCCTCCAATTTTGCTAGGTAATATAGTTATACAACATTGCTATATGAAAAACAATATTAAAAGGGAATGTCACCTTTTGAAAGTAAGATTTCTTTAGGTAGAGAGCAAAACCACTTCATATATTACTTAACTTTTCTCCCAGAAAACTTATGTTTAAAATCAAAGCTGAATTAAACCTTTTAAAAAAAATTTGAAATATTTTCTTACACAATATTTTAATGAGAAAAATTTGTGATATTTTGTTAGTTTTCATTTCCAAACCTAGTTTCAATTTAGGTCAATATCAGTGTTTACTACTATTACTACTACGGAAAAAAGATGAGACACATCAATATTGAAAAAAGGCTGGAAATATAAAATGCTGCAAAAAGAGATGCTTCAATAGCACAATTTCCAGAGAATAGTCCAATTTTGAACTAGTTGAAGGAAACTTAAAGACTAAGTGAAAAGGGGCAAAACTTCCCCCGCCCCTTTTGAAAAGGGTCTTCTTGGGAAAAGAGGAGACAAAAATGGGAAGGAAACAAATAGCAAATCTCACCGCAAAGGAGGAGGTGGGGCTGGGGGCAGCCGCGGGGTGTGTGCGCTGTAATCTAATCACTATGAGAACTAAGCTCGATCCGGCCCTCCTCCTCAAGTACTAAGTCTTTACCAGTCTAAGAATCCTCCTGCCCTCCAGCACTTCCTACTCCAAGCCCCACTTTTCAAGCGGATTGGGGAAAACAGGCAGGTCAGACAGCCAGCCGCCCCCCCCCCCCACGCCGGGGTCGCCCCAGGGGCTGGCGAGGGTCCGCCGAGGTAAAAGGCCGGGGAGGCGGACTCGGCTCCTTCCCCCGCCCCCGCCGAAAGAGGGCGGGGGGAGAGGAGGGGAGGAGAAAGCGGAGCCTCGAGCCCCGGCTAGAACAATGCAGCGGTTCCACCCCCCCTCCCGGGGTAACGGTGACCCGGGGAGGCCACCCCCCCACCCCCCGCCGCCCGCCCGAGGCAGCAGGGACCCAGGGGGAGGAGAGGGGTTGGAGCAGCCGGACGGGGAGGGCGCGTGGCGGGAGGAGCAGAGAGAGGACGAGCTGGAGAGGGGGAGGAGATGGGGCGAGGGTTGGGGCGCGGGGAGAAAGGAGAGGGCAGCAGCGTGGAGTTAGAGGCTTCGAGACACCCCCGCCCCACCCCCCTCACCAGAGCCTGGCCCCACCCCCCGCCCCTACTCCTCCCCTCCCCCCTCCTCTTCGCGGCCAATTCCCCCTCTCGGAGAAACTACGCCATTGCGGCCTAGTTGTGGAGCCGGCGCGCCGCCCGCCCCCCCCCTCGCACCACCCCTCCCCCACGTCCCCTCCACACCGCCAGCGCCGCCATCTTCCTTTCCCCCCGGACGGGTCCCAGCAGCCCCGCCGCCCCCGCCGCCGCACAGGCCCCGCCATCTTTTGGGGCCGCCATACTTGCCCTGGCGAAGAAGATGGCGGCGCCCATCACACACATAAAACATGGCTTCCCTTCAAAACAAAAACATCCCCGGGGCCGGGGGAGCCGGGGACGTGTCGCCTGGGCCGCGTCCCGTCTCCCCTCGCCTTCCTCGGCCTGGCGCCGCTCACCTGAGGCCCACATGGTGACGGAGAACTCCCCCTCCAAGGTCTTGATCTGCACCTGCTTCTGCTCCCACTTCCTGCCGCTCGGCTCGGCCCCACCGCCTCCGCCACCGCCGCCTGCCCCTCCGCCGCCGCCGCTCAGGTAACTCTTCTTGCCGCTCTTCTTGCCCCCGCCACCGCCCTTCTTCATCCGGCCGCCGCCAGACGACGACGAGCCGCCGCCGCTCTTGCCGGCCGCCGCGGCCGTGACCAGCGTCTGCTCGATGTAGTCCTCCTCGCCGCCGGCCGGCGCGGGCACGGGGATGAGGATCTGGTCCTCGAAGCCGTCCTCGGCCCGCAGGCCGTCTGAGTCGTCGCCGCCTACCACCTCCTCGCGGGTCTGCACCAGGATCACCTCCTGGTGGTGGTGGACCTGGCTGGGGTCGTCGGTGACGAGCGGCTGCAGGGCGATCATGGGCGGGTGGTGGTGGTGGTGGTGGTGATGGTGATGGTGGTGGTGGCCGCTGTGGCCGCCGCCCCCCCCCGCCGCCGCCTCCCGCACCGTCCTCGTCATCCTCTTCATCGTCCTCCTCCTCGCCCACCACGGTGGTCTCGATGGTCTCCACGGGGATGGTCTCCACCTCGATCTCGTGCAGCTCCACGATCTCGGCCGGCATCTCCGAGCCGTCCGTGGCGATGTAGAGGGTGTCGCCCGAGGCCATGGCTGAAGCCTTTCCTGCCTCCGCCTGCCCCGGCCGCTACAGCCGCTCTCCACCCCTTCGTCCGCGTCCTCCTCCGCTGCGGGCGGGCGAGGCGGGCAAGGCGGCCGGTCGTGGGGAAGGGAAGGGAGCGAGCGAGAGGGGAGGGGGGGAATCTGGGGAAGGGGAAGGGAGGGTAAGGGGGAGGGGACGGGCAAGCAGGCGGGCGGGCTGTCGGTGCTCTCTGTCCCCCTTCTCGCTCCGCGCTCGCTCAGGCTTCTCGTCCAGGCTGGAGAGGCTGCTGCCCCCCCTCCCCTCCCACCCCACCCTTCGGGCCGGGTCTCCGGGCTTTCCCCCCCTCTTCCTCCTCTCCTTCTCCGCCTCCTCCTTCAACACAAATACCAACTCCTCAGCCCGACTGCAAATCTCGCCGCCGCCACACTCGCTCCGATATCGCCTCGCGAGACTTCCGCTCTTTCCTCTCCCTCCCTCCCTCCGCGCGTCTCTCTCTCCCTCTCTCTCCCTCTCTCTCTCTCTCTCCCTGGCTCCTCCCTTCCTCCCCCCAACCGACCTCGCCGTTTGCTGTGACAGGCTGCCGTGATTTAGACCCCGCCCACACCCCCCAGTTCTGCCCGGATTGGGGAAGGGGGAGGGAGATCGCCCCGCCTCCTCTGCGCGTGACGTCAGCACGTCGACGTCGGTACCTCCTTTTGGTAGCGCTGTCCCCTCCCTCTTCTCCCAGCCCCCCAACAGTAGGAACTGGTGGTGTGTGTGCAGCCTCGGGTTTCCCAGGCTGCGCTCGGTTACCGAGGTGTTGTTGCGCTGCCTGCTGAGCGGTTCGCCTTCCCGCTCTCCCGTTCGTTCCCCAGCCGTCAGCCGCGGAAGCGCCGCTGACCGCACTTCTCCACTCCCTCTTCCGCCGCCTTCCATGTGGAGAAGTGGGCCCGGGCAAGGTTTGGTGTAGAGCTGTTGGGGCGGGGGCTCGGGCGGCTGCGGGAGCGGAAAGGCCCGGGGAAGATGGAAGGGTGTGAGTAGGCAGGTCCGCGGCTGGAGGCCCCGAGTCCGGGAGAGGGGAAGGTGGATCGGGCCAGAATAGGCCGCCGGGGAGCCCGGCCGGCTGGGGCGCGTGCCCTGGGGGCGATGCCTCTGTTTCTGGGGGGGGGGGGGGGGGGGGGGGGGGGGGGGTTAGCAGGGAAGCTATGGAAAAGTTTGTCCTCTCCAAATGACGGCAACTTTGTTGGCTCAGTCGAGCTCGTCGCTGAGCTTTTGATCTTCTTCCTGTCAAGCTCCCACCGGCAGGGAAGCCGCCTTCGGATTTAATCTGAAGCTGGGATGATGGACCCGTACAGGTTGTGGCTGCCCACAAAGCCTCGGGTCCGTCGTAGGTGCCTCGGGGCTCTGCAGTGAGCGGAGAGCAGCTGAATCATGGTGGGAGGAGAGCAGGGAGCGAAGACAGCACTTAAACAATTGTCAACGTTTTAGGCCACGTTCTGCAAAAGCATGTTAGCTGTAGCTCGCTCCCCCGGTGGTTTGCGGATATTTGTGATATTTGGGCATGAATGTTTGTGTAATTCAGAGATTTTTAAAATCGGGAATTCGATTTAACAGCTATGGAGGGTTGAAGAATACTGAATTTGGAATCAGATGCTAGGTTCGAATCCAGGCTCTCCCACTTAGTATTATGAGACCTTGACCGGGTGTATTAACCCGTCTGTACCTGTTTCCTCGGGTATAAAACAAAGAGGTTATATATTACATAATATCTAAAATCCATTGCAGCTCTAAAAACTGTAAATTGAGAATTATCCTAGTCAACGAGTTCTCTTCTTCCTGTTTTTATTTCTGCTCCTAACTGTAAACATCTTCCACTCTTATGCTGCCGTCTGTAAAGCAGGATACTGGGTTCTTGAAAACTTTGCCTTAATGTTTCCAATATAGCTTGGGTTCCAGAAATTTGCCCAAGTTTGGAGGGGTCTGTCACCAGAAGGTTGGGCACCAGGTATGTGGTTTTGTTTTTGGTTTGGTTTGTTTGTTTGTTTTTTTGTGACCCCAGTTCAAGCAGCATTTTGCTAAGGGGGAGTGAAGTAGCTGCTCATTGCATGAATGGAAGGAGTGAAGACAATGAAAGGAAAGAGCAGAAGTATTGAGATAAAGATAGTAATCACGAAGAAATTATTAAGGGGAAAAGGAAATTAAGAGATCATCTTACCTCAACTTCCTCTATTTTTAAATTAGGAAACTGAGACCCAGAGAGATTTTTAAATGATCTTAAGGTCACATAGGTAAGTGTCTGTTTTTTGTAGAGTCACTGTGCTGAGCAATGACATAGATAATACCTAAGATGAGCACAAACAATTGATACAAGGTTAATATACAAAAGAATTTCAGAGTGGTCTAAGACATTTGAAGGGAAGAATTTGCCTAATAATAGTCTGTTTTTTTTCAGAGGGCTTTTAGAAATGAAGAGGATTTTTGAAAGTGAATGTCAGAAGAGGAAAAAAAAAAACTCCAAGAGCAGTTTAAAATGATTGAAAACTGACTACTATTTGATTGGCTATAGAGAAGGGGCCTCATGGTAAAAAAAAAATAGACCTACAGCAGCAAAAGATAGCTACCTCTTTTAGGATAAATTTTATAGATGCTATAGCAGAGAGCACTGGATTTGGAATAAAAAAAGAACTGGGTTTGACTCTTGGCTCTGCCACTTACTACCTGTCTGCTTTTGGGCAAATCTCTTAGCCTTTCTGTGCGTCTGTTTCTCATTTTTTAAATAAAGGGTTGGATTAGATGACACTCCTAAAATCCCTTCTAGCTTTAAAATCTCTAGTTCTCAGCTTTTGGTCTCTGGATTTATCTTGACTGCTGAAATTTCGTTTGGAATGTAGAAAGGTCCTTAAGGGTGTCAGTGCTGTAATATTTAAATAATCAAAATTGTTATTCAAGAACCAAATTAGATACCATGCAGAGGTTTTCTCATTCAAGTAAATATAGTAGTGAAGACAAATCAGAATGTTATAGCAGTCTGCACATTAGCTTTTAGTGAAATGAACAAAAAGCTTAGCTTGCCACTTAATAGCTAACATTCATAAAACACTTAAAGGTTTGCAAATAACTTTACATGTATTACTTATTTAATCCTCACAACAACCCTATGATGTAGGTGTTATTATTATCTCCATTTTGCAGGTGAGAAAATAGGTTTAGACTGGTTAAGTGATCTGCCCCAGTGTCACATAGCTAGTAACTCAGGTATTCCTGACTCCCAAGTCTAGTGCTCTGTCCGTTGTGCCCCCTTTTTGTCCTTAACTGGAACTTTTTAGACTTGAGAGAGATCATGGCTGAGTTTGATGCATTTATTGCAAACTATACACATCATGGAAGTAGTAGATCTCAGAAATAATCTTTATTCTTGTATAAAATAATAGTGTATAGTCTGCAAGATAACCATGCCCATTTTGGATGACTTCATCGGAATAATTTAGGTTGATGATTCTGAACTAGATCATTTATGCTAATCAATTAAATTGTTATGAGGTGTGTCTGTTTTTGGTTTGAACATTTTCTAATTTAAAAATTATTAAACGCATAGTGAGGAGCATGGTCCCTTTGGTAGTTTTCTAGGCACTAACCATAAATTCAACTAATAAATGTAGAGGAAAGGTAGAACAGCCAACGTGGCAGATGACATAATGGCAGAGAAGTAGGTTAAAAAATATTCATGTACTATATACATTCTCCGGAATTTGTTGGCCATATTGCATTTTACTATTGTCTAGATGGGAGTGTGTGTGTGTGTGTGTGTGTGTGTGTGTGTGTGTCTGTCTCTCTTTGAGTGCCTTAGCAAAATGCTGGGGGTTGTTCAGAGTAAAGGATTCTATGCAACAGAATATCTCTCTCTAAGCATAGTTGGGAGGCATATGTAGAAGCTACTTTAATTATTGATATGTGTTATGATTCAGTTATTAACATTTTTGCTCATGTTCACAATATTGACAGTGAAAAAGGTGATAGCTGCCATTCTACGGGGAAAATGTAGGAAATTCAAAAGTCTATGCTTATATAAGGTCTTTGGAATCACTTGTTGGGTAAGTTCCATAAGACCAGAAAGACCCTTCAGGATTCACATGTGTATGTGTGAAGCATTACACCTATCATATCTTGAAAAAAGTCTGAGAAGATATAGCTGAAGTTGAACTCAAAGCAAAAAGAATAACTTAGAGCTTCTTGTGGTTGAATAAAACAATAACAAAAAAAGTCAGTGATGCTAATTCATATGATGCAGCATTGGATTCACTTGAACCCACTTTGAAAAGAGCAGACATACATTCAAGTACCTTGGAAAAACAGTCCCTGTGGGAAGGTGTAAAATTTAAGATGTTTATCACTGTGATATTAAAGAAATAAAACACTTTTGTGCTTATAGCAAACAGATGTAACCAAATGAAAATATTTTACTGAAAAGTATAACACGCCATCATCTAGGATATGATTAAGTTGTTCTTCATTAATAAGGAAGCAGTATTATCGATTTCTTTGATCCTAATGGTAATTAACTAGCTGTTCAGGAGAAATATTTTCATAACTGAAAAGAATAATAACTAGCATTTGCATAGCATTTTAAGCTTTGCAAATTGCTTTACATAATAGTAGATTCTCATAACAATACTGTGACATGTTACTAACTCATTTTATAGATAGGGAAGCTGAGCAGGCTGATTGAGGATAAGTGACATGTCCAGAGTCACACAGTAAGTGTTTGAGGCCAGACTTGAACTCAGGTCTTCTGAACTCCCAAGTCTAGCGTTCTCTTTCTTTACTATCTAGCTGCCTTGCCGAAAAGTGAACTATGGATAGTACAACAAGGAATGTTGACTGCCCTAATTCTTATGACCATAAATGATGAAAAACTTGATAACATCACTTGACACCAACAATGAGTGAGTTTTTCCAAGATTTTTTGGGATTACTGTTCTGTTATAGAGAGAACATATATAAATTTCCTCTTCCCATAGTAAGTTCTAAACTATCAACTCATAGCACTAAATGTTAATTTATGTACCCAGGAGAAAATAAGGTATTTTCATGTAAAGATATTTCATAAGCATATA